TTTTTGATGGAATCTTGAGAGCTGTCTGACCCTGCATAGACAGCAATACAACTGAAATGTTCCCAAGTCCAGAGACGTAGCAAGGAGATCGGTAAAATAATCCATGTGACATCAGGGGTTCAACCGTAATTTTACGAAACTACGAGAATACTTTTTGTGCGCAAAAGAAAAAGAAAAAAAAGACTATTCAACAATTTGTCTCCTCCGCATCACCCTGTAGCGCCATTTTGGAGAGTATCCGTTGGATGTAAACAGCGTATGCTGTTCTGCTCAGATTCCATCAAAAATATCTTAATTTGTGTTCCGAGTCTGGCCGATCTGTGACAACGGGTTTGAAACGACAAGAGGGTGAGTAATTAATGACAGAATTTTCATTTTTGGGTGAACTAAACCTTTAAGGCAGTTGGGACCACAGTCACCATGCAAAACATTGGTAACACATTACTCCGCAATGAACTGAAATCCTGCAGCGCCTGCAAGGTCCCCCTGTTCAAGAAAGCACATGTACAGGCCCATTTAAAGTTTGCCAATGACCATCTAAATGATTCAGAGAAGGCTTGGGAGAAAGTGCTGTGGTCAGATGAGACCAAAATTGAGCTCTTTGGCATTAACTCGACTCGCCGTGTTTGGAGGGAGAGAAATGCTGACTATGACCCCAAGAACACCATCCCTACAGTCAAGCACGGAGGTGGAAACATTATGCTTTGGGGCTGTTTTTCTGCTAAGGGTACAGGACGACTTCACCACATTGAGGGGCAAATAGACGGGGCCATGTACTGTAAAATCTTGAACGTGAACCTCCTTCCCTCAACCAGAACCAAGATCATGGATGGGTCTTCCAGCATGACAATGACCCGAAACATACCGCCAAGGCAACACTCAAGAAGAAGCACATTAAGGTCATGGAGTGGCCTAGCCAGTCTGCAGACTTCAATCCTGTAGAAAATCTGTTGAGGGAGCTGAAACTTCGAGTTGCCAAACGACAGCCAAGAAACCTTAAGGATTTAGAGAGGATCTGTAAAGAGGAGTGGATCAAAATCCCTCCTGAGATGTGTGCAAACCTGGTGACCAACTACAAAAAATGTGCCTTGCCTACAAGGGTTTCTGCACCAAGTACTAAGTCATGTTTTGCTTGGGGATCAAATACTTATTTCACTCACTGAAATGTAAATCTATTTCTAACCTTTATATAATGTGTTTTTTTCTGGATTTTTTGGTTGGTATTCTGTCTCTATACATTAAAATAAACCTACCATAAAAATAACAGACCCTTCAAGTGGGCAAACGTACAAAATCAGCAGGGGATCAAATAAATATTTTCCCCACTGTAGATGAGTTTGCTCCGTACAGATTTGCGTTACATCACTTGCTCACCAATGGATCCTCTGCAGTGAATGGGTGCTGTCAAAAAGAGAGTCCAAACAGCTGATATAAAACATAATCCACTCATAAAAAAAAAAAAACATAATCCGCAAGTAATCCACATGACTCCAATCCATCAATTAATGTCTTGTGAAAAGAAAGGCTGATTGTTTGTAATAAAGTCATCAAGACTTTCTAACTGTTGCTTCCGACTAAAATTTGACTCCATAATATTGCTTTCTCCAGTAAAAAAAATCATGTTATCTGAACCAGGAGAGCAATATGCACAGATCAAGTACCATTTACAAGTGAAAACAGTTCTAAATAAATATGTCTGTGGATTTTGATAGGGTTTTTTTTCAATGGAGGAACTTGTATTTTGGCCAGAAGCAACAGTTTAAAGTTAAATTGGATTTGTTTCTTAAAAACACAAATTTTCAACTCCACAAGACTTTAACTGTAGAACTGAAGTCGTGTGAATAACTTGTAGATTATTTTGATGTTTTTATCAGCTGTTTGGACTCTCATTCTGACGGCACCCATTCACTGCAGAAGATCCGAGTGAAATTGAAGTTTCTCAAAATCTGTTCTGATGAAGAAACAAACTCCTCTACATCTTGGTTGGCCTGAGGGTGAATACATTTTCAGTAAATTGTCATTTTGGGGTGAACTATTCCTATAAAGCAAGCAGCTTCACTGTGTTAATATCAGTTTCAATAGAATTACAACTTCAATTTCTACTATAAAGCAGCTCTTCATTGTGTTCATGTATTTACTCACTTCTAACCTCGACAGACTGAACAGAAGAAACGAACCGGAGAAAATTTCCACGTCAAAGAAGGCAAAGCCTCAGAGCACACCTTCTCATTATGCAATCGTCACGGACCAATGGTAGTTCGAAGGCGTTTACCAGCCGGAGCAAACTTTTCCAGAAAGTTTGCTTTGGCAAGCTGTTTCGAACACCTAACGCGAACTCCAACTGATTTTGTTCGAAATCACACCATCACACCAGTTCGTTCTTCGATTTCGCTTGAAGTATATGGGGCCTGTAGTGGTCATTCATGGGGAATGGGGGGAAAACACAAGGACGCTTTTTTTTTTAATTAAACTTCTTTAGCTTAATTGTCAAACACGACCATCTAGTGCATGTTTATGAAGAAAAACAATGAAAATGCAGTGGAGTGGAATACAAAAACCCACTCTGTGTTAACGGCCCCTTAAGTTGCATTCAGCAAGGTCAAGGTCGAATTTAAAAGGTTTACATGCTGGTTAAAAATGTTGTTAGTGATAAAACAACTATGTTGTTAGTCTTTGAGTCATTTAACGTTTTTGAAAATAATTTTATTTAACTGTCTGGTGAATGGTTTTCTTGAAGCTTTGCTGGATCCTAAGCGACGTGTGGAGAACCAGGACAGTTCGTGCGTGTTGCTAAGAGATGAGACATTCTCTCAATAACACTGTGGGTAGCAGGAGTCACTAACTACACACAGTGCCACACAGTTCACCTTATCACAGGATTGTGTGATCTGAATTATGCTGATCAGTGGAGGAGATGTGGACTAATTCTTCTGTCATTCAGTTTACGTAATTTTTTTGTCTTCAGAATTTTTTTGCACAATCTCTAATATCCTGCTCATGCAGCTTTGATGGCTGGTCTCTCAAAAATGACACATCTAGGATAGAGGAACTTGCACGATTCTCTCAGGGAGGAAGTTAGAACTCATCGTATCAGCAGACAGACGCTGGGCCAGTTGAGCTCTCCCATCACTAAGGTGCAGGTTTCTTTCTAAATGAAAGATTCTCATATGTAATCTCTCATTCTGGGAGGATTTTGCAACAGTTAATAATTAAATTGTTAAAGATTAATAGCAAAAAATCAAGATTGTGAATCAGTGTGAACAGTTCCCTATCAGGTAATTACTACACAGGTTTTTATTACATTTTTTGGAGAATCATGATCCAGTAGAGTATTTTCTTCTCTCTGTAGTTTAATAGCCTAAGTGTGGTACAATTGTACTATATTATGTCACTAGATCTATAGCACATTATCATACTTCATTTTTTTTTAAATAACAAGTTATTGGTTACAAAGAGAGCAAAGACAGTTTGGCATAGATCTCCAAAAAGAATTAAGGCTTGAGAATATCTTTGTTATTGAAATGTTTTTCTTTTCTACGTTTTTTATGTTTTAGATGTTTACAGTGTAAGGTGTCCTGTGCGGTCTCACTTTGTTTGTGACTGTGTGTATATATATATATATATATATTTGACTAGGTGAAAGATGCTGCTATCCTGACCGCGAGCCGTACGCTTATGGGCATGTCATCCATGTAATAAAAGATCAGAACTCTGAACATGCTTCATGTGTGTGCTGCAGATATTTATTTCAGAAATATGGGTGTTGTAAAGGCAAAAAAACAAACAAATCAGAAATTCTAAACTGTGAGTGGTGATCGTTCCAGCCTGTAAGTCCCTTGGTAAAATGCATCGCTTGAGGCTTTGGCTTCCTTTGTGTTCGCAGATATGTACAATTAACTGGCTACTTTTTGTCAATTAGTTCTGTTCCTCAATTTATTGTATGAGCTAAATTCTAAGACTCCTGATTTTTAATACTACAAGAGCAGGGCAAGTGAACAGCACTAAAGGAAATAAGCAGAATGTCCAACAATGGCAGCATTGCAGATGTTGTATGTCCGGATTTCATTACTACTACAAATGTAGTGTGAAAATTTTGACTCTTTTTATCACAGCTTGCCTGTGTTTACAGCCGAATCAATCCAACAGGGTCTGGCTGCAGACTTGCACTTGCACTGTCAGACTTGCACTCTCGGACACTTGCGCTTCCGCAATTGACGTCACTTGCAGTCATTATTTTTTATTTTGTTCTATTTATTTTTTTTTTTTGGAATCTCTCAACATTTTACAACAGTAGCCAGGTGGTGAAGACAAGAAAAAAAAAAAAGAAACTAAATTACAATGTCACTTGCACTCTCCGCTACCTGCGACGTCACTTGCAATCCACACAAATCGTGCTTGATGTATTAAGATGCTTTTAAAATATCAAATTCAATATACGGTTTATTAAAATAATGAATATGTATATAGTATTTTCCACCCATACCGCAAAACGTGGCATATGTGGCATAATGGACTAAGATGATAATAAAGACCAAACTCAATATGCTCCTCTTCATTATTAAAATATACATAACTATGTACAGGCAAGTGAGAATAAACGTAACACGCAACAATTTAACGCATTGCGTTCTGGGCTCGTCTGCTTGCCTGTACGGAGTTGATCCTTTTAATATCACTTAATGCATTTCATAATGCATGGTCATATCTGCTGGTCTGTATATACTTTGCGTCAAGAACAAGACATAGGCTACTGAATTGTCTTTATCATCCGTTATTATGCCACATTTTTATTATGCCACAAGCGTTTTGCTGTATGGGAGGACAAGTGAAAGTTTGCGCATTGTGCTCATGGCCATCTGCTTGCCTTGTAGTACATTAAATAATAACTATATATCGAATTTGATCTTTTAATTGAACTTAATGTATCTTAATAGCCTACATCAAGCCATGTTAAGTGTTTATGTTTTTCTACAGGAGGAAAACGCTTAGCGAGAGACT